TAGCCCTACTCGGAGCTCTGCCCACGCTGCCTAGAGACTGTCGCCATGGGAACTGCCTCTAATTAAGTAGCTCTGGGTCCTTCCCGTCGAGTCCGCCCAGTTGAAAGGACGCCCGACTCTCCCGGTACCCAACCCCGAATAGCTTCACCTGGTTACCCTAGCCGCCAGCGACCAAGAGTGGATGGAGCAGAACGTCTCCAAGCCGGGCTCTTGGGTCCCGCTTGGATTGGAGTGACCTCAGTTTCCTTGTCCACTCTTCCCTTGCCTTTGCTGTTGTTAGTGCTGTCCAGTGGGGCTCAGGGCGCCGGGATATATAACAGAACTAAGTGTTGAGGGTCCCTTGCCCTTTTCATGATCTCTGATACGGTTGAGCCCCCTGTTTCTGCTATTGGGTTAATCCAGCTCATTGAGTTTCCTTCGTTTTGTCCGGCTCTACCCAACAGCATGTCCTTTTCTAGTGATTGGCCTCTCCTGCTCAGGAGTGCTAAGGATGGAAGATGTAGTCTCGCCATTCATGTTCACCTTTTGTTCTTGAAGATGCTCCCTGAGTACGTAGTTTGGGAGGGGGGAGGGGCGCATCAAGTCCCTAACAAGTGGGATGATCTTTTGATTCTGTGAAGAAAATGCTGTGATCCTCCTTTTTCAAAAGAGAAAACTGACCTTGGTTCAAGGTCTCAAAATCACTAGCCATGGTGCTGCAATCAGAACTAGAACCCAGGTGATCAGTTTCCAAAGCCCCCTACTCTTTATCCCTTCACTCCTCTCTGCCTCTGAAATCTTAACCTTGAAAAGCGTCTCTGTAACGACTCGTTTTTATAGGGCTTTACAAGTTACTGTTAACCCTTTAATCCTTACCACGGCCCCTGGAGGTACAGAATGTTATCATGATTTCACTTTATAGATGAGGAAATCGAGCCTCAGACGTATGGTGACTTTGCTCAAGGTCACACGTCTTTTTACTGAAAATTCATTCATATCCCAACACACTAAAGATTTCCCTCTTTAATGTCAGCATAATACATATTATACTTTATTACATAATATGCATTTTTTCCTACATTTTGCTTGATCTTCTTCATCCCTCCACCCCACCCCACCCCCAGCCTCTTTTCTTTCTTTCTTAGGCTGAAATTAAAACGATTTTAAATGATCCTAATTTTCTTACCAAACTATCACACAAACCTATTATTTTCAAGCCTGACTGAGAGGGATGGGGGAGGGAGAAGCTGTGTTGTTATACAGCTGTATAGAAGATAGCATGGTTACTGCATCCTGCCATGTCCATGGTAACATATAATTCAGCAAAAACATGGTGATTCTTGCTCTACTCTGAAAAACATGTTCTCAGAAATTACCCACCCCATCCTCTTTATTTATTGTTTCTGGCTTTCAGTTGGATTTAGGGTCTGAAATACTGTTTCCAGTCAGTTATTAATGGCAGAAGAGAGACTCTCCTTTGCCAACTGTTTTCAACTAATACTGTACTCTAAATCCCTTCCCTGATACTGTTATTTTAAGATTAAGTGGGTTGCACTCACTAATGTACATTATGGTATCATGTAAAATACAGTTCCATTCTCTCTCCTAGCTTGAGATTAAATAATACATGATAGAAAGTTGCACTGAGTCCTCATAACTATTTATTTTTGTCTCAAAAGTAAGTGGAAAGACCCAATAAATAAGTCTGTTTCCAGACAAGCAAAATGTATTTATATGTGTTTTGTTTAAAACATCACCAGTGTGGAGAAATTTCTCTATGAGATGCCAAGAAAGTCTTTAAACTCCTCATTTGTCTTTGTTTTCAATCCACCTGTTCATTTCCCTTTCAGATTGTCTAGAAAAGACTGACAAAATCTTTTCATCTGCATGCCTAAATGTCTGCAATTTTACATTCGAATAAATGCTTAACATCTCAGAATTGGGCTAACGTAGTTCAAGAGTACACGACTGTCAAGTCTAACAATTCACATCAAGTTACACTATCCTACTTTGTAATAATGTAGTTGCCTCCTCCTAAATGACATTTATTTGTGACATTAATTTATGACTCAACCCACATATCAAATGGAAGTGATATATGTTGGGGAAACATTACTACTAAGAGTAAAAGAAAAAACCCACACCTCTATATTACTATAAATGAGAGAAGAATCTCCTTAGATTAATAAAGCTATTAAATGAGAGAAGAATCTCCTTAGATTAATAAAGCTATTAAAGGATTCATATGGATCCTTTGCATCCATCTGACAGAGTAGCTTTGCCAGAAGGTTGCTGACAGCAGAGCTGGGATCTCAGAGCAGCTGTGTAGGATGATTTTGCCATTGTTAAGATGTCTTTTCATTCATTATTTGCATTATCTTGATTTCCTTTTCAGTGCCTCTCCTCTTACACCTCCTTAATCCCATTTCTTACTATTAAAAAATACTGAGCCATGAAGAGCATAATATGCATCAAGAGTATTCAAATAAAAACCTCATGTGAATTGTTCTCTCTGGACAGAACAATTGTTGGAATAAAAGGAATAATGTCCTTTTGTGGACATTCATGGTAACAGTACTTAAAAAGGTTAAAAAAAAAAAAGAATTGTTTGAGTTAAGCAATTTCTTATCATATGACCCAGTATTTCCTCACTCAAGTATTTACCCATAAGAAATGAAAACATATGGTTACACACAGAAACATCCCTTGTACGTGAATGTTCACAGAAGTTTTCTTCATAATAAACTCAAGCTTGAAAACAGCCCAGATGTCCATCAATAGGTGAATGGATGAATAAATTGTCATATGTCATACAGAATACTACTCAGAAAAAAACCCAGAAACTACTGATAAACATGATATGGATGTTTCTCTAATATGTTGAATGAAAAAAGGTCATACGTTAAAAGTCATCTATGTGAAATTCTATGACAGGCAAAACTGATCTATAGCAACAACAAAAAAAGATTAGTGGTTACCTAGGACTGAAGTAGAGATAGGGAATTCATGGCAAAGAGGTAAGAGAGAACTTTGTTGGGTAGTAAAAAATGTTCTAAGTGGGAGGTTATATATTATTTGTCAAATAATATCAGTGTACAGTAAACATAAGTACATTTTATTATATAGCATTATATCTCAATAGAGTTGATTTTTTTAAGAGTTTACAAATTGATTACTTTTTCAACCCTTGGCTTGTTTGTTCTTCATTGCTTTTCTTCCCTATTATCCTTTTACTCCCTTGATCTACTTTGTCTTATAAGGGGACTGACCCTTACTTGCTCCGTTCATCAGCTTATGTGATAACTGATTCCGTGCTGATGGCCAGTGGGAGGCATTGACAGGAATATTTCTTCCCTGGCATCTACCTCAGTCCTAATATCCATTGAGTCTCCTTTTATCTTTGCTTCTCCTGGACATATCTACTCTAAGACCAGCTTTGGCCAAGTGACCCACGCTCCTGACCTTCAAAAACATCACTATCTTACATTTGTCCAACCAGTTTCTAGCTGTCTAACCTTGTCTAATCTTCCTTTTGGCTTCCCACCCTACCCCCAAGCTCTTCAATCACTTGTTTATCAATTTCACATGTTTTATTAGCTGGGTCCTGACTGATACAAGAACAAATATTCTTTGTGATCATTCTACTTTTAAGAACTGTGCTTGCTTAGTAGCCCATATAATAAAATTGGAATGATACAGAGAAGATTAGCATGCCCCTGTGCAGGGATGACACACAAATTCACAGATTCTCCTAGACTTTTCACATCATAGACATAGATATAGGCATAGGTAAAAATAGATGTAGACATATATATAAAGTTTATGAAAAAATTGAATATAACAGAATTTTTTACAAACTTTTTGAAGTATATATATATATATATATATGAATGATAAACTGAAGTAAAAGAAAGTTCAGGTCTCTGTTACTGGAATACTGAGTTTCTCTAAATTAAAGTTAGCACTAAATTATTACCTAGAATTAAAAGTGAAGAATAAAATATTTACTATATGCTGAATAATTGGTGCCGTTTTACTAAGGAAAATCTGTAATTACTCAGTTTATCTCCAGTTAATATTAGCTCAGTTATTCAAATCTAGAATATTCTGTCTATTCTATAATACGCCTGTTTTATCACCTTACAGGCAAAAAGAGAAATTCTAATTCCAAAAAAATTCTCAATTTTTATATGGTTCACTATAAACCATTAAAAGTGATGTTACATCTCCTATAGTAATATATAAATGACTCTTTGCTCACTATTAAAGATGTTTACATAAAATCTTAGTCTTTCATATTTTTAAGAGAAAGAGTCATGGCAGCACAGTCAGTAAGGGCTTGGCTGCTAATGGAAAGATTTGTCATTCAGACCCACCCATCAGCTCCAGGAGTGAGAGGCAGTGTGACCTGCACCCCTAAAGTTGACAGCCGAGGAAACTCTCGGAGGCAGATGTGTTGCATGGTGCCACTACTCAACAACACTTAACAACACTGCTCAGATCTAGAAGCCATAAATCAATGAAGCCATAAATAAGGAAATGTTTAAGGCTAGACCTAATAATAAATGCTAAGTTTTAAATGTAAACTTATTTTTACATTCATATTCTTTTTTAAAATCAATGGAATGAAGGTGGGTTTTTTAGATACTAATTTGATTGTGTTCCCAACCTTACAAGTGAAAAAACTGAGCACAGAGATAAGTTTTCAAAGAAGTAAAAGAATTTCCTCCTTTCTTTTCAATATGCCTTAGCTACATCTACATCTCCTATCAATAATTTAATTTTAAAATTATTTCCACTTGCTACCAAAATATTATTACTAAATTAATTTTTAATTTATCTCCTACTGCTGGCTGATGTGGTTTATTGCAGCAACAGTTCAAAGCTGTCCAAATTAAAACTGACATCAGGTAATAACAGGCCCTTATGCACCATATTTCAATTTCAAAAAGCAAAAAGTCCCCTAAAACATTTTTTAATGTTTTAGCTAATATAATAGAAATTTTTGGATTTCATCCAGTATAGTTCTTTGAATTTTTTTGTAATACTTAAGAAAGAGGACTATGGCAGAGTTTGATGGCAATTTCTGACGATAGTAATATGTGGTATGTCCTTTCTATAATGAATTGTTCTGCTAAAATGAGTTGACTCTAGTTTTTTTTTTTAATCACATTTTCCTACTAGTTTTCAGTTAAAAACAAAAAATATTATACGGTGGTAAAAATTTACATTTTGTGGTGAAGAAAGCTGATGGTGCCCGGCTATCAAAAGATATAGCGTCTGGGGTCTTAAAAGCTTGAAGGTAAACAAGCGGCCATCTAGCTCAGAAGCAACAAAGCCCACATGGAACAACATATCAACCTGTGTGATCACGGGGTGTCGAAGGGATCACTGAAGACAAATGGGTGCATAAGCAAATGTGGCGAAGAAAGCTGATGGTGCCCGGCTATCAAAAAGTATAGCGTCCGGGGTCTTAAAGGCTTGAAGGTAATCAAGCGGCCATCAAGCTCAGAAGCAACAAAGCCCACATGGAAGAAGCACACCAGCCTATGCAACCACGAGGTGTCGAAGGGATCAGGTGTAAGGCATCATCAGAACAAAAAATCTTACCATAGTGAATGATGGAGGGAGTGCGGAGTGGAGATCCAAAGCCCATTAGTAGGCCACTGGAGATCCCCTTGCAGAGGGGTCTCGGGGAGGAGATGAGCCAGTCAGGGTGCGATGTAACAATGATGAGAAATACAATCTTCCTCTAGTTCCTAAAGGTTTCCTCCCCGCTCCCACTAACATGACTCGAATTCTATCTTGCAAGACTGGCTAGACCAGAGGAGGTACACTGGTACAGATAGGAACTGAAAATACAGGGAATCCAAGACGGATGAGCCCTATAGGACCAGTGGTGTGAGTGGCAAAACAGGGAGGGTAAAGGGAGAATGGGTAGGAAAGAGGGAACCGATTACATGGAACTGTGTGTGACCTCCTCCCTGGGGGACAGACAACCGAAAAGTGGATGAAGGGAGACGTCGGACAGGGCAAGAAATGACAAAATACCCATTTATAAACTATCAAGGGCTCATGCGGGAGGGGGGAGCGGGGAGGGAGAGGAAAAATGAGGACCTAATGTCGGGGGTTTAAATGGAGAGAAAATGTTTTGAGAAACGATGTACAAATGCGCTTTACACAATTGATGTGTGTGTGGATTGGGATAACAGTTGTATGAGCCCCTAATAAAATGTTAAAAAAGAAAAAAGAAAAAAAAAAGAAAAGAGGAGATTCTGAAATACAAAAAAAAAAAAAATTTACATTTTATTATTTCCTAAATTTTATTCCCTTTATATATTTACTTGGGATAAATGCATGCAAGAATCCAGCATGATACTGGTCATGCCGTAGTCTAGTTCTTGGGCATTTATAAAAACACCCAGTTGCTTTTTTAAGTGGAAATAAAAACCTAATATGAAAACTCTTCACAAAGCTGTGTTCTATACTCAGAGAATACTAAATCCTTCATTCTTAGTTGAATGTGGAGCTGATGGAATTGAGCCATAATGACATTTGTGACTGGAAGGGAAGATGGAAATGACTCCATGAACCTGGAGTGCTGTAACATATGGTAATCATAGGTGGTAGAATAGCTGTGTCGGACAAGGGTAAAAGTGAGCCATGTGGCAGACATTATCAATTACCACACATGGTAACCATGCTGACATAATGCATCTTCTCCAAAAGGGAAATGACTTGGGCATATGAAGTGGTTTGCTATCAAAGAGGGATCTATAAATGACAGATCTGGCATCAACATAGCACACATGGTTTCTAGTAATCCTGCAAGCTGAAGACTATTAAGATTTTATGAGCCTCCATATCCCAAAATAAATAACATTAAATAGATTGCAGTCACACAAAGGTCAGCAAATCTGATTATCTATGCATATTGAACTTGTTTAATTTCAAATATTCTTTTAAATTGTCACATAATTCTGGAATTTTTTATTTCTGGAAATGAATGGCATGATTCTTTGTTATGTTCACAAAAGTTTAAGATTAGACCTACCCCCCCAAAAATTAGACCTACACTAGATGGCCAGATGAAATTATAATTATTTGTTCCAAGTATTGACAAAAATATTTAATTGGAAACTAACATTATGAAAAAATTTTTTTATTAAATCATTTTATTGGGGGCTCATACAAATCTTATCACAATCCATACATACATCCATTGTGTCAAGCACATTTGTGCATTTGTTGCCATCATCATTCTCAAAACATTTGCTTCCTACTTGAGCCCTTGATATCAGCTCCTCATTTTTACCCCTCCCTCCCCGTTCCCCGATGACCTTTGGGTCTCCACTCTGCACTCCCCCTCATTCACAATGATATGATTTTTTTTTGATGCCTGATACCAGATCCCATCAACACCTGATGATCACACAGGCTGTTGTGCTTCTTCCATGTGGACTTTGTAGCTTCTGAGCTAGATGGCTGCTTGTTTATCTTCAAGCCTTTAAGACCCCAGACGCTATATCTTTTGATAGCCGGGCACCATCAGCTTTCTTCACCATATTTGCTTATGCACACATTTGTCTTCAGTGATCGTGGTGGGAAGGTGTGCATCATGTAATGCCAATTTAATAGAACAAAGTGTTTTTTCATTGAGTAAGTACTTGAGTGGAGGTCCAATGTCCATCTGCTGCCTTAATACTAGACCTATAAATATATGCACATAGATCTATTCCCCACCATCCTATATAAATATATTTACATATGAACATGCCTGTAATTAGACCTCTATAAATGCCCTTTGCCTCCTAGTTCTTTCTTCTATTTCCTTTTACTTTCCTCTTGTCCCACTATCATGCTCAGCCTTCATTTGGGTTTCAGTAATTTCTCTCAGTTGCATTGCCCTTGCTGAATCCCTACCAGGCCTCTCACACCCTCCTTGCCACTAATTTTCGGTCACTTGTTGTTCACTTGTCCCTGGGTTGGTCAACCCCACCTCCTTTCCTCCTCTTCCCTCTCTCCCCTCTCTCCCATGTCCCCCCAGAACCATCAGTCCCGTTGTTTTCTCCTCCAGACTGTTCATCCAGCCTATCTTATCTAGATAGATCTACAGAGATAATAATATGCACTAAAAAAACAAGGCATAGCAAAACAAAGCAACAAAAGAGAACACAGCGATGACAACAAAAAAGAAAACCAATGACCCAGAAAAGAGTAAATTAATTTTTTTTAAAGAAAGAAAAAATTTTAAAAATTAAAAAAAGAAAAAATAAAAAAAATTTTAAAAAGAAAGAAAAACATGTAAATAGATCAAGGTCTGATTTTTGACCTCTAAGTGTGTCCTCCAGTCAAGTCCGATGGGGTGCCACGCTCTGGCCCCAAAGTCTATCCTTTGCTCTCCCTCCGGGAGCTCCCTGCTCTGGTCCCTCTGCCCTCCCCTACTTACTCTGCTGCAGGCCTTTAGTGTCCCCGGGGTCAGACGGGGCCAATCCAGACACTGCATTTAATATGTCTGCTTCATGATTTATAATGTTCCCCAGTAAAATGTTAATAAAGTCTCCAAAGTGGACCAGGGGCATATATAGACCATAGATATATGAATGGATTTTGAGCTCACACTTAATTGTAGCCCTAATCTAAGAACAATCACATCTTATGAAGTAGCACTACTCAATACTTGACCTCAGGGAGAGATCACTGAAGGATATGGGTGCTATAGCAAAATGTGATGAAGAAATCAGATGGTGACCGGCTATCAG